AAAAAAAAAAAAAAAAGATGATACTTATTTACACTCAATAGATGAGCAATAATTATAAGACTGGATAACGCCAAAGAAAATCTGAACCCTCAAGTATGCTTGCTGGAACACAGACAGCCATTCTGGAGAGAACCTGAAGAGGTCTTCCTCCCAGATTTGTGGGTTTAAGTGTTCACTGTTCTTATCTTTTGTAATCCTCATGCTTTTCCAGTAGAGGATTATCTTTCACTGGCTTCTAATCACCTTGCCCTCCAGAACCTTCTCGTAAGAGTTAAAAGTCACTTTAAGATTTCTCCTTTCCCTTGCAAGGGTAAACGGTCATTGAGATCTTCCCTGAAGAACAACAATAACCAAAATACACTCGTGCTTATCTGCGTTCGGTTCATTATGCACAGAACATCCTGTACATTTTACTCCTGACTAGTCAGGTTCTTAACAGGGCACATTCTCCCCAACATCGCTCACAGTGGAAACAGAAATATCGAGTTTTTGCACTTCCCCCATTTAGCTGAGCCCTTCTGCTGTTGATACATTTAGATGAAAGGGAATTCACGTATTTCCGTTTTTAATTAAATGGAAAGGGGAAAGTAAGAAGTCATGAAGCAGAGGGGCGCCTGGGTGGTTCAGTCAGTTGGGCGTCCAACTTCGGCTCAGGTTTATGGCTCAGGTTATGCTCTTGTGTTGAGTTCGAGCCCTGGGGGTCAGACTCTGTGCTGACAGCTCAGAGCCTGGAGCCTGCTTTGGATTCTGTGTCTCCTCTCTCTCTGCCCTTCTCCGACTCACACTCTGTCTCTCTCTCCTTCAAATATAAATAAACGTTAAAAAAAAATTTTTAATAAAAAAAAGTCATGAAGCAGAGATATTAAAGAGCTGTAACATAGGCCTCTGTACATCTTATTTGATAGCATCAGTGACAAAATGTTTCTCAGTTACATTTCCACTCGTTTCAACACCCACATCAGAACCCCAGAGTCAACAGGCTCACTAGCTCACCTGTGTAAATTTCCTTCTGAGTTAGGACTTCAGTATTCACCCCTGCCCAAGATGAACACCCTCTTTCTGTCACAGGCAGCTACTGTTCTGTCCTTATCACTGGTTCTCTTCTTGCTACATTGCCTACCTCATAGCTCACATGTTTTCATGGGTAGATTTGACCACAAATTTTAACCAGGGACGACCTTAGAGACCCAGAGCTCATTATAAAGCTGAAATTATTTTCAGTTCTTGAGCTAGTTTTTTTCTCAAAGTTAATCTCAGAGCCCCCAGCATCACCATCAGCTGCGATTACTACTTCCCATCAAGACCTTCTATCTGCTTTTTTACACAGTGATAATTCTGTGCACACTGGAGTTTGCTCTAACCCTGATGTGGAAAAGAAACGTTCGGCTGCAGTTTCAAATAGTTCTCTGGGTTTGCTATCTGTCTCAGCACGTGGACTTCCTTTGGATGAGCACATGCTCAAAAAGTACTGAATAAGAACGTTAACTCATGCAAAACTTCCAAAGCGCCCTGCTGGAATATGGTGCACCAAGCTGCAAAAGTTTCGTTACTTTGACATTAAGAGCGTGTTTCAGGGACAGGACGCGGGGACAGGGCGGTGCTTCGCGGCTGCTGATGGTCTGTCTGGGGAGCGAGGGGTACAGGTGCGGAAGGAACCAAGCAGAACAATGTGGGACCTCAGGGCTGCTCCGCAGGTTCAAAGGTGCCGCCCGCCCGCCCGCGGGGAAACCTGGTCGCGCGTCTCCAATTGGGGAGGAGAATCACCCTAGGGATTAGGAGCCCATAGCAGGAGTCAATAAACAACTGAACCGCTGAGACCGGGTGGCAACGTTACCGGAAGGCGTCAGCTCTGGCAGCGCGGGTGACATGCCGCCGAGTCTCCTCCTCCTCCTCAGGCCAGCGGCAAAGCCGGGAAGTCGCGCTCTGCACAGGAGACGGCCAAGAGCGACGCCAGCCAGCGCCCGGGAGCCTGCCTGAGGCCCGAGTCGCTGGGAGCGCCAAGGGCCCCGGAGCTCGCCGCGCCCCGGGCCTTGCGCGCACCGCACGCCGCGCGGGAGGTGCCCCCGCAGGACCTGGGCGCGGCGCGGGGATGATAACGCGCGCCCTCGGCCGCTACAACGCTCGAGCACGTGCTTTCTTCGCGGTCACCCGGCTTGTCCTCCGCGCGGAGCTGGCGGCCAGACACGGGCGGCCCGAGGCCGGGTCGCGGGCAAGGCGCGGACCGAAACCGAAGAGGAGGACAACGTGGCGTCCGAGACGCGGGACCGAAGCTCTCAGCCGCCTTGGGCTTTGGGACACATTACAACGCAGTTAGTTTCTCCGCTCAATCTAGCCTCTGCGTGGGAGGTCCCGCCCCTTCCAGCCTGTGACTGGTCTGTACGAGCACGTCACGGCTGTATTGGCTGATCTGTTTGAACCAATCACCTGAGGGTTCTCCCCAGGGTTCTCTGGGAGATGTAGTTCAGGATCCAGGCGGTCAGTGTTTAGTTAGAGCCCAGAGGAGGCTTTGCTCACCTCCAAGCCCCAAATCCAGAAGTGCGGCCAGAGTGACCTCTCCAAGTTTAGGTCGTAGTGCGAAGTTGACGATGGTTTTCAACGTGTTTTGGTGTCAAGAGACAGGAACGTGGAGTCAGAAGACGAAGTACCAGTCACGTTTTGCTACTGACTGGCGCTGGGCAAAATAATTAATCTGAGGCAACACCACTCTACACTCTGTAAGCATGAAATGATAGGTTTTGCTATTTTATAAGGTTGTAGTAGGTTGTAGTAGGGAGAAAATGAGATAGTGTGAACGCGCTGTGAAATCTGTAAAGTACGTATAGGCATGTTAATTGTCACTTATTGACAGTGAAATTTTATTGAGCACTTACTATGTATCATGCATTGGGCATGCAAAGAAATGCTTCCATCTTGGAGAGATGGAGAAGGAACTCGCAACCTACTTAGAACTAAATTGAGCAGGAAAAAAAGAGAACCACGTATGGATACAAAAGAGCTGCAGTATTCTAAAGCTGTTGGGGGGAAGCTTCAAGGTACTGAGTCTTGAAGAGTAAGAAGTGTGTGCCAGTAAGGCCATTCCTGTTGGGACAAACTCCCTGGGTGGAACACAGCACTTGAGAGAATTTGAAAATAAAGGACGGCTCTGTAAGGATGAGCCCGGTAGATGGGAGGAAAGCAAATGAATCTAGAAAAATAAAATTGAGACCAAATTGTGAAGTTCACAAAGCTTTTTTTTAAAGTACAAATTTGCCTGCCCTTCTCATTTTACTGTGTGTAATTATACCTCAATTTTTTAAATGTAAAAATTATAATAATGTGTATAGCGTCTTTACCAACAATGGTCATACTTGGAGATGGGAAAATCGGAGGGGGTGGGGAGTGAATGGAACAAAGGAGAGTGTGGGCGGGATAGGATGGCCCTGAACAGCTGAAGATCTTGTTAAGATTGTAAGGGCTAGTTTTAAATTATTCCGCGCGTCACAGTTTGTTGATGAGTCCCTTGAAAAATAATCTTTTAGGTACCTAGTTACTTAGTATCCTCTGTCTTAGCAGAAATTGCAGGAATTGTGTATCAAGTGTGTATTTTTAACAAGTCATCAGATACTTGCTTTGTCAGCTAAAACTGACCAGATCCAGTGTTCTCTTAGTCTTAAAGGGGTAACAAATTAGACTAAAGGGGCAGTGAATTACTAGTACAGAAACTCACACAACGTAAAGAAAAGTTCCAAGGATACCGTCAGGGGTTGACCTGTGTCCCCCAACACAAATGTTGAAGTCCTCTAAACGCTAACACTTCAGAATATGAACTTACTTGGAAATAGGCTTGGTGCACATATGGCAAGTTAAGATGAGGTCCAAGTGGAAGGGACACTTAGCCCAATGTGACTGGTGTCCTTATTAGAAGAGGAGAGAAACACACAAGAGAAAAAACAGCCATGTGACAGCAAAAGCAGAGGTTGGCATAGCCTGCTGACACCTTGGTTTTAGACTTGTAGTTTCCAGGACGGTCACACAATACAATTTTGTTGTTTTAACCGCCCCCCCCCCCCCATTGTGTGGTACTTTGTTAGAGCAAGCCTAAGAAACTGATACAAATACATCTTTAGATGAGCTGAGACCACCAAGGCAAAGCCTCAATTTCTCTGTCTCCGTAGAAAAGAACCTATTGTCTTATTCTGATGACAGTCTGCTAGCTCACCCCCCATCTTCACCCTGACTCTCATTAAGCTCATCCATCATACCCATTATGTAGAGGTAAGGCTCCAAACTTCCCCTTGGTAGTTTTGGGCTTCTTTCCCAGTGGGTTTGTCTTACAGAGAAAGAAGTTCTGATTGGTGAAGCTGTATATCCAAATCTCACCGTACACCAGGGGTAAACTGTATTCCAGCTTTATACGTTATTCTATGGGCTTGATTGTGTATGTCAACCCCATTAGATTGCATTGGTGTCCTGCCAGTCGAGAGTCCTGAGACTCAGAACTGAGAGCCAGTTCTGGAGCAAGGTATTGCTTGCCCTGGGGTGTGGTCAAGGTGATCATTGGCTTTCCCCAGAAGATCCCTGACTTTGTCCTCCCTCCCTCAAATCCTTTCGTAATCTCAAGATTTTGACCCATCCTCAGAGGCACAGAGGTCAACAAGCACTTTGATTACTGACACACATTGCACTAATTGAGCTGCATTTACTGAGTCTATGATATACAGTCTTGTCACCAAGTACAGGGAAGTAAAAAAGAATATAAACGAAACCTGAAGGTTTTTTTTTAAGCTTTTTAATTTTTTTTAACATTTATTTATTACTGAGAGACAGAGAGAGACAGAGCATGAGCAGGGGAGGGGCAGAGAGAGAGAGAGAGACACAGAATCGGAAGCAGGCTCCAGGCTCCGAGGCATCAGCACAGAGCCTGACGCGGGGCTC